AGATGGCCCGGGTTCGGGCCCAGAACAGCAGTGGCGTGATGGGCGGCCCGCAGAAGATGCTGATGCCTTCACAGTTTCCCAACCAGGGCCAGCAGGGATTCTCTGGGGGCCAGGGACCCTACCAAGCCATGTCCCAGGACATGGGCAATACCCAAGACATGTTCAGCCCTGACCAGAGCTCAATGCCCATGAGCAACGTGGGCACCACCCGGCTCAGCCACATGCCTCTGCCCCCTGCATCCAATCCTCCCGCGACCGTGCATTCAGCCCCAAATCGGGGGCTAGGCAGGCGGCCTTCGGACCTCACCATCAGTATTAATCAGATGGGCTCACCCGGCATGGGGCACTTGAAGTCGCCTACTCTTAGCCAGGTGCACTCACCCCTGGTCACCTCGCCCTCTGCCAACCTCAAGTCACCCCAGACTCCCTCACAGATGGTGCCCTTGCCTTCCGCCAACCCGCCAGGACCTCTCAAGTCGCCCCAGGTCCTCAGCTCCTCCCTCAGTGTCCGTTCGCCCACTGGCTCGCCCAGCAGGCTCAAGTCTCCCTCCATGGCGGTGCCTTCTCCAGGCTGGGTTGCCTCACCCAAGACGGCCATGCCCAGCCCTGGGGTCTCCCAGAACAAGCAGCCGCCTCTCACCATGAACTCTTCCACCACCCTGAGCAACATGGAACAGGGTGAGTCCGTTGCACAGGAAGGCGCTGAGTGCTGATACTGGGAGCCTCTGAGACGGGTGTGTCCCTGCTGGGGCTGGGCAGTGAGTCAAGGCCTCTGTACTAGGGGCCCAGAGGTGGATGGCTCTGCTTGCGGGGCAGATGGTGGCAGCTGTGTTGGGCTTTCTCAGGGGACACCTCATGAGTCTCCCAGGCATTTCGAGGGATCGTATTTGGGGCCCAGGATCTTCCCCTTGCCTGGGGCCCTAAGGCAGCAGAGATTGCTTGAAGACTGGTGGGCTCTGGAGATAGTGGGGGCCTGTGGGTGTGTCTGAAGGATCAGGTAATATGGGGAGCTGACCTCTTCCTAAACCCCCCAATACCCACAGCCAAATTCATCTTCCCCTCCCCAGTCACCCCCTGCTCTCTTTGTCTCCCCGTTTCTGTAGGTGCCCTCCCGCCTAGCGGCCCCCGGAGCAGCTCCTCTGCACCTCCCGCCAACCCTCCCAGCGGCCTCATGAACCCCAGCCTACCATTCACTTCCTCCCCAGACCCCACGCCTTCCCAGAACCCCCTGTCACTGATGATGACCCAGATGTCCAAGTACGCCATGCCCAGCTCCACCCCACTCTACCACAATGCCATCAAGACCATCGCCACCTCAGACGACGAGCTGCTGCCTGACCGGCCCCTTCTACCACCCCCCCCACCACCGCAGGGCTCCGGGCCAGGTGCGAGGACAGGCTGGGACCCCGGGGAGGCCAGCTGGTGTGGGCACTGGGAGCGGGGAGTACAGCTGTGGTTGTGCTGGCTTCTCTGAGCTTCTGAAGGCCCTGGGTGTGGGGGTGGAGGCTCCTGGATGCGCTCCCGTTCCCACTCACTGGAGTCATTAGTGAAACCCAGCCCAGAGCACTCAAATGGTCTTTCCAACACTTGGTGGCATGTCTGTGGAGGACTGGGCCAGAACTTAGTCTCTTGGCTTCTAGCTTCAATGCCTCTAGTCCCTTCCTTCCCAGCCAGCGGAAGCCAGTGGGAAAGCTCCAAGCCCTGGCACCACCTGGCTGCAGACTCAGGAAGGCCTGAGCCCTGCATCCTCCCCCAGCTGGGTGCACCATGCCTGACCCTCTCCTTTATTCCCTACAGGGATCAGCAACAGCCAGCCCAGCCAGATGCACCTGAACTCAGCCGCTGCCCAGAGCCCCATGGGCATGAACCTGCCAGGCCAGCAGCCCCTGTCCCATGAGCCCCCGCCTGCCATGCTGCCCTCCCCTACTCCTCTGGGCTCCAACATTCCATTGCACCCCAATGCACAAGGGACAGGAGGGCCCCCTCAAAACTCCATGATGATGGCTCCAGGGGGCCCCGACTCCCTGAATGCCCCCTGCGGCCCAGTGCCCAGCTCCTCCCAGATGATGCCCTTCCCCCCTCGGCTGCAGCAGCCCCATGGTGCCATGGCCCCCACTGGGGGTGGGGGCGGGGGGCCTGGCCTGCAACAGCACTATCCGTCAGGCATGCCCCTGCCCCCCGAGGACCTGCCCAACCAGCCGCCAGGCCCCATGCCCCCCCAGCAGCACCTGATGGGCAAAGGCATGGCTGGGCGCATGGGCGACGCATACCCACCGGGCGTGCTCCCTGGGGTGGCATCAGTGCTGAACGACCCCGAGCTGAGCGAGGTGATCCGGCCCACCCCAACGGGGATCCCCGAGTTCGACTTGTCGAGGATCATCCCCTCTGAGAAGCCAAGCAGCACCCTCCAGTACTTCCCCAAGAGCGAGAACCAGCCCCCCAAGGCTCAGCCCCCGAATCTGCATCTCATGAACCTGCAGAACATGATGGCGGAGCAGACTCCCTCTCGGCCCCCCAACCTCCCAGGCCAGCAGGGTGTCCAGCGGGGGCTCAACATGTCCATGTGCCACCCCGGACAGATGTCCTTGCTGGGCAGGACAGGCGTGCCCCCACAGCAAGGCATTGTGCCCCATGGCCTGCACCAGGGAGTCATGTCCCCTCCACAAGGCCTCATGACCCAGCAGAATTTCATGCTGATGAAACAGCGGGGCGTGGGGGGCGAGGTCTACAGCCAGCCTCCCCACATGCTGTCCCCGCAGGGCTCCCTCATGGGCCCCCCGCCCCAGCAGAACCTCATGGTGTCCCACCCCCTTCGGCAGCGCAGTGTGTCCCTGGACAGCCAGATGGGCTACCTCCCGGCGCCAGGTGGCATGGCCAACCTGCCCTTCTAGAAGTCGCTACCGGGGCTGGAGCCGGGGCAATGTTGCAAATACGATAACCTTAACAAAGTTCTTCCCCTCAATGTTGGGATGGCCTGGGTCTCGGGGTGGGGTGGAGGGGGTGGAAGGGGGCTTGTGTGGGGAGTGGCATTTGTGGAAACCAGATGTGCTGGCAGCTTAGGGGGAAGTGGCAGAGTGGGGTGGGGGATTTTGGATTGGGGTTGGTTCCATTGTGGCCACCAGGACTGCCCCTCCCCTACTCCTCCCAGTTCCTATGGACCCTCTCTATTTTACCTCTTTCCCTGCACCCACCATCCCCCCTTCAGCTGTGTTTTTGGAGTCCTGGATGGGATCTGGGGGGATAGAGGAAGGAGAGGTCAGGTCTTCCACAGCCCCTTCTGCTCCTGTCTCCTCGTGTCTGCATTGCTGGAGCTCCACCTCCCTCTCGGTTTCTCTGTACCAGCCGGTTTTCCTTCTGTCTTTACCTGCATCGTATCCTTTTCCTGCTGATGTGGCTGACCCCTCTCCCACCCCTCCCTGCAGGCGGCTGGCCAGGTGGGCAGGTGCCAGCTGGAGCTGTAAATAGAGCGCTGCGCTTTTGTGCCGGTTTGTGCGTGTGCTGTATTTCTGTGTTTTGATAGAAGTCACACAAAAAAAAAAGGATAAAAGAAACCTTTCCCCCTTCTTCAAGTTACTACTCCTTCCATTCCCCTGGACCCAGGGACATGCAACCCTACACGGCCACCCACTGTTTGCAGTGTCTGAGTCCTTAAGGGATACCATTCCTGTCCCCTCCCCAAATGATAAAATGATGTAAATGCCCCACTCCTAAACTGAGGTCAGACCACCTAGGCTTCCACCTGGTGAGCCCTAGCAGGGCTGAGACCCCCAGGGCGGCAGCCTGTCTGCTGCTGAGAGATTCAGGGAGAACATGTGCACGTACATGCTGTTTGCCCACACCGGTGACACGGGGCCCTGGCTTCCCACTTTGGATGCCTGGGTGTCCTCTGCTGCTACATCTTAGCCAGAACTTGAAGTCTTTTGTCCCAGTCTGGGATGAAGGAAAGGAGGAAGAGGCGGTGGCTATGTGGCCCCCGTGAGCGGAGCCATGGAAGGGTGGCATGGTGCCACTGGGGCCTGTGGCTGCAGTAGCCCTGGACCAGTAACCTCCAGGGCCCTGACACTTCCAGAGGCTGCCACCTACTTCTTATCAAAGAAGGGGCAACCGTTAGTCCGAGTCAGTCCACCTCCCCTCCAGCCTCCACCCCCGAGGATGGAATCGGGAGAACAGCATCCCACCACCTCCTCTCTGCCTGCCCACTCACCGGCGAGGTTGTCCCTCTGCCCAGGGCTCAGGGCCATGTACCAGACCTGTCTGTGCCCACCCAGGCACAGCCACTGCCTCCCCCTTGGCTCCCTGCTCTTCCCCAGAAGAGTCCCCTATCTGCCTCTGGTCAGAGCTGAAGCCATATACGACTGGGTGTTTGTCCCCTACTTTGGCCCCAGGAGTAAAAAACTTCTTTTCTCACTTCCTTTCCTGTCTCAGGAGGACGCTGGGCAGTTCCCTGGCTGAGGCCTTTTGCACCCCACCTCCAGGGCCAAGGGGCCATTCTAGACAGGGTGTCTTCTACCAGGACCCATCCCTAGCCTTCCTGGCCTGGACGGCCTGGTCTCGCACTGGCAGCTGTAATACAAAGGGAACTCGCCCCACTCCTCCCAGCCTGGTGCTGTCCTCTGGGTCCACCATCGGCCAGGTCCAGCGCTTCCTCTGGGGCTGACAACAGGCCCCTGACTCCCCCCAGCCACCTCCCAGGGGCTATGGCCTCTGTGTTTGGGGGGGCACCTGCCCTTCATCCTGCCAGGCGCTTTTTGCCCGCCCTGCCTCAGCCTGGGCCCTGTGCCCTTGAGCCCTCCACCCCTGGCCCAAGACCCCCCAAACTGTCTGACTCTGTGTTTCCTGCCCTGAGGAGAGAGGGGTGAGATTGCAGCAGGCCCAGTGCCCTCTCCGTCCCCTCTTCTCCTACCCGCGCCACAGGCCAGCCTACTTCCCTCCATCCATGGCCATACCCCCAGCCATTTTGTACCATTATATAAATATATATATAAATATAAATATATAAATACAATATGTGAAGACATCTTCTTGGTTTTTATTTTGAAACAATTTTTAGGCTTGTTCCGGGGGTCTCTGTGCTGCCTGTACTGTATTGACCTGTTTTATAGGTGCCTTTTTATTAAAAAGAAAATTCAAAATCCAGCCTCTTGCCTCTTTGCCTCTGCTTCAGACTCCTCCATTGATTGCTCAGCTTGCTAGGAGATACTCTGAAAAAAAGGGGCGTCCCGGGGCTTCCTCCTTGTTCTGCGGTGAAGACACTCTCCCCGGGCCAGGTTTGATTTCCCCAGTGGGGCCTCCCAAGGAGCTTGGCTGCTGGGCTTGAGTGGGACAAGTTCAGGGATCCCTGACTCCACCCGATCCGAGGCTGGGGAGGCAGGAGGGAGCACCCAGAACTACCGGTTAGTCAGGCCTCCCACACCCCAGGTGAGCAAACAAGCACAGAGCAGCTTCCTGCGGTTCCATCTGAGTGACATCCTCACCGGGGCAGGGCCCGGCTTCCTGGGGCCTGGGGACTTCCCTGCCCCAGTCTGTTATACTTCCCTGCCTAGGGTGATGCCACAGAGGGGCTGGCTGAGATGACTCCCACAGGCCCCTTCCAGGCAGCCTTTCTCCATTCACACTCTGAGTTCCTCGGGCCTGTAGCTTGTGAGAAGGGAGTGGGGAGGGGACAAGGCAGCCTCCTTCACCATCAGTGCCCACAATCCCCCATCCCTGGACCCGGCCACCACAGGAGCTCTCCACCCCACTCTGTGTCCCCTGGTGGAGGGGACCGCCGGATTTGATTGATCCATGTCCCTTCTTGGGGTTGGGGAAGAAGGCTCGTTTCTTCCCTCTGTTGGGCTTATCTCTTGCTGCTCGGCCTTTGAGCTTCCTCAGGTCACCGCTGGCCTCCAAGGGCACCTAGAGTCAGCTCTGCCTGCAGACCATCCAGGACCCAGTGACCCAGGGTGGACCCAGTGCTGTTTCTGTCAGAGCCGGGGGCAGCTACCTGAATGCAACCAGTCTGAGCTTCCTGCTTGGTCAAGATGGCTTCAGGCTTGGGGGCCTGGCAGAATGTCTGCGTTATGTGTGTTTTTAGGGACTGAAATGTCTGAAGGCCACACTCTGCTGCCAGCTGGCCTGTCCTCAGTTTGAACCTCCACTCATCCCCTGGTGCTCAGCTTCTCCTGGCTTTGTTTGGCAGGTGGGTAGGAGGAGAGAGGGGAAGCAGTGGAGGTCAGCAGCCCCTAAGCCGATGGAGTGTGTTCTGGGAGGGACCAGCGCTGTTCCTTGGCAAGGGCAGAAGTAGAAGTTGTTTCTTGAGCTTTGGATGATTAGGATGGGAGAAGGTGTGTGAGGTTCTCTCAGCCCGAGGGGGCACAGATGGGTAGAGACAGCCTTCACTGTGCCTTTGGGCTGCTTTCTGCTCCCTGGGCTCCAGCCTAGCCCCAGGGCTGGCAGAAGAGCTGGCAGGGATGTCCTAGAAATGGGGGTTGGTTCCTCTAGTTACCCCAGCTGAGGACACTCCTAGGTGAGCCACAGTGAGCTCTTAGGATCCCAGCTCCTGCTGGAAGGAGCATCCAGCATCACTGCATGCCCCAAGGAAAAGCAGCAATAAAGGGGGACACTGGGACCTAGAAAGTGGTGAGGGAGGTGGCATTCTCTGACTCAGAGAGACTGCTCCTACGCCAGCTAGGGAAGAGCTGGCACAGGGAGGCAGGGCCGGTACAGCCCAGCTTGGTTAGGAGCCGTGACAGGTCACTGCGGAACTTCACGCCAGCGAAAGTGTAGAGCATGGGGTTGAGGCAGCAGTGGGCCAGGCCCAGGAACTCGCACATGGTGATGGCCGCAGGGAGAGAGCCGTTCAGCTCGCAGCTGTTGTCCACGGCCTTCAGCCTCGCCAGGGTGTCCAGGAAGATGACAATATGGTAGGGTGACCAGCAGAGGAAGAAGATGCTCGTCACCAGGATGGCCACCCTGACTGCCTTCTGCCGCTGAGGGCGCCGCTGGGCCTGGCGCAACCTGTGCACCACCCCCACGTAGCACCAGCCCATCACCAGCATCGGCAGTAAGAATCCTGCCACGTGGTAGAGGAAGCGGGAGGTGAACCAGGCATGCGTTTCTGCTTGGTTCTCTTGGGAGAAGGTGCAGTGTGGCAGGGAGTTGTTGTGATAGGGCTGGCTGACTTTGGCGAAGAGGATCTCTGGGAAAGCAAGGAGGAAGGCTGTCAGCCAGATGGTGGCACAGGTGATGTGGATGGAGAGGAGGCGGCGGTGGCGGTAGGCGTGGACAGCGTGGACAATGGCCAGGTAGCGGTCCACGGCGATGCAGGCCAAGAGCAGGCTGCTGCAGTAGAAGTTGATCTTGTGCAGGGCAATCACAGTTTTGCAGAGGAAGGTCCCCAGGACCCAGCCCACAGAGCCCTCAGCCACAGCAAAGGGCAAGATGAAGACCAGCAGGAGGTCGGCCACAGCCAGGTGGAACAGGAAGGTCTCGGTGGAGCTGCGTGTCTGCCGGTGCCGCTCCAGGATCACCAGCACCAGGACGTTGCCAATCATGCCCAGGAGGAAGATGAGGCTGTAGGCCACAGGCACGAACACGGCCTTGAAGGAGGTCATGAGGGGCCCCTCCTCGATGGGGCAGAGGTGATTTTCCACCGGGGAGGTGTCGTTATAGTTGTTAAATTTGTCCAATTCCCACAACTGCAAGGGCAAGGAGACAGGAGGGTGAGGAGCTGAGGACCTGTCTTTCCTCTCTGAGAGAAACCCTAGCTCTCTTGGAGGTTTTCCTACATAGGGCCTGCTGACCAAATGTCAAGTTTCAAATTTCTTTTTGTTTTTGGAGACCAAGTTTCACTCTTGTTGCCCAGGCTGGAGTGCAATGGCATGATCTTGGCTCACTACAACCTCCACCTCCCGGGTTCAAGCAATTCTTCTGCCTCAGCCTCCCAAGTAGATGGGATTACATGCATGCACCACCATTTTTTATTTTTACATGCATGCAGCTAATTTTTTATTTTTAGTAGAGACGGGGTTTCTCCGTGTTGGTCAGGCTGGTCTCAAACTTCTGAGATCCGCCCACCTCAGCCTCCCAAAGTACTGGGATTACAGGCGTAAGCCACCCGCCCAGCCTCAGCTTTCAAATTTCAATTCTGAAAAAATCACTTTGTCTTCTCCAGCTTCAATTTTTTGCCTATCAAAGGGAAGCATTCTTTAGAATCGTAGTACAGATGAAGTGGGGAATGTGGAGTGGCTGTGCTTTGTAAATGCTGAAGGGCTTGCCCCATAAGTCAGCTTGTGTTTTTGGGTTCTCTTTTACGGAAGCCTGTGGCCTTGGGGGCTGGAGTCGCAGGACTTCAATTTGGGGAATGAACCTGGTTGGTACAAGGAGCCGTCTGTTCCAGTTCTTAGCAACTTAGCATCGTGCTGGGGTCTGGGGGGCAGGCAGGTGTGGGCTCCCTCTTCATGGGTCTCCCTGTTCCTGACTGTCTCCCTGTTCCTGGCTGTCTCCCTGTTCCTGACTGTCTCCCTGAGACACGGAGAGACCGGCAGGAGAGAAGGACAGAGCCTGCTCCAAGTTTGGGGGTGTGCCCATGATGTCTCCGGAAGTTCCCTCCTCCCCATCCTGCTCCTCCTCTCCCCATCATGCCCCCCCAACACCCCAGCACGCAGGTTGTTTACCCAGCTAACCACAAAGGAAGACATGTGCCTGTTTTCACACCTTTCACTCACAGCTGTCCCCTGCACCTGTTCCTCCTCACTTCCCAGCTCTGTTCTTCCCACCCTCCTTACCCAAGCCCCTCCCCAGGCAATTCAAAACCAATTACAATCAACCTATGTGGGTTCAAAAAGGCAATTCTATAAATGATGAGCCCCAGGGAAGCAGAGGATGGGAGGGGGTACTCTGTCCCCCAGGCTCTGGCTGGCTTAATGCTGCCCCCCTTTCAGGAGCCAAGGAATTTGAGGCTGTAGTGAACTATGATCATGCCATTATGCCCTAGCCTGGGCAACAGAGCAAGAGCCAGTCTCAAAAAAAAAAGATTGGAGTAAGCTAAACTTAGTGCCATTCACACATTGCTAAATTTCAGAACTGCTGGGCACAGCAGTCATGTCTGTAATTCTAGCACTTTGGGAGGCTTAGGTGAGGAGATTGCTTGAGGCCAGGAGTTCAAGACCAACCTGGGCAACATAGCAAGACCCCATCTCTACAAAACAATTTTAAAAAATAAAGTAAATTTTAGAACTAATTGCAGAATATCACAAACAAAAGTAAAGGTGTGTTTTTCTCCCCCAAACACACACCTTTGCTTTTGTTTCTGGATCGACAGTGTCTTGCTATGTTGCCCAGGCTGGAGAGCGGTAGCTATTAATAGGTGTGGTCACAGCACACTACAGCCTCGATCTCTTGGGCTCAAGTGATCCTCCTGCCTCAGCCTGCTGGGTAGCTGGAACTGCAGGTGTGTGCCAACAGTGCCCAGCTCCATGGATTTTCTTTAGAGTACCCATGACTGTGTGTGTGCCACAGGGTTCCCCTGGGGTGGGGAGTGGTGTTGAGGCTCCAGGCTCCCCTCCTTGCCTTTAAACTAGAGCTCTCCACTTTTGACTTGTGTGGTGTTTCACACGTAAGCTTTTGTTGAAAAAAAGGTTCTACTTTCATTTGAAAACCATGGACCTGTGGGAAGAGGTCTAACCTCCCAACAGAGCCTTTATGCTCCTCCCAAATGTGTATTCCTCTGACCTTTCAAACTTTGTCTTCTATTAGTATAGAAGGGTGGCTCTAGGCCACCCCCCAAGCCTGTCCCCCAACACCCCAACACGTTCCTGTCTCCAAACCTCTGCTTGGCCTTTTCCTTCAGCCTAGCCAGGCTTTCTACCCAAGTTTGCCTATCTAATCTCTACCCTTCCTCCAAAGCTGAATTCAATCCCATCTTCCCACATCCTTCCTGGCTCCCCACTTGAAATTCTCTCTTCTCCTTATGATGCATGTGCATTTATTACAACACTCAGGGTTGGGATGACCACTTTCTTTTTTTTTTTTTCTTGGAGACGGAGTTTCGCTCTTGTTACCCAGGCTGGAGTGCAATGGCACGATCTCGGCTCACCGCAACCTCCGCCTCCTGGGTTCAGGCAATTCTCCTGCCTCAGCCTCCTGAGTAGCTGGGACTACAGGCACGCGCCACCATGCCCAGCTAATTTTTTGTAGTTTTAGTAGAGACGGGGTTTCACCATGTTGACCAGGATGGTCTCGATCTCTTGACCTCGTGATCCACCCGCCTCGGCCTCCCAAAGTGCTGGGATTACAGGCTTGAGCCACCGCGCCCGGCGTCCATGTGTTTTATGTAGGACAGATGTGTGTTGACCTGCTCTGAAAGCAGTTTCCCAGAGAGGGCCAGGAGCCTTTGTAACTGAGACTTAGGTAGGTGCCTTCTCAGGGACTCACTCTAAATTTCTGCATTCTGCCTTCCCCCAATAACCTTGACAGCCTGGATGCTAGATCCTATCTCGTGTTCTCTCTCCCTATTGGGAGCTATTTCCAATATTGTCATTGAGCACATCTGCTTGACTAATAGTGGAATTCAGCAGTCTTCATGCAGAGCCAAGCCTTTCAGACAGAGGGAGGAGAGAAGCAGGGCCTGGGGCGGACAGCAGGCTGGACTCCACCTACCTTGGCTGTGCCTGGGGAAGGCTTAGGTCCAGCCAGCCTATCTGACCCAGAAAGCCCTGGGTTTCTGGGCTCGCCCTCCATGCAAGTTCTTGCCCTCCAAAGCCTCCAGGCCGACTGGGTTATTGCTCATCTAAAGTCAATGCAGGCCGGGCGTGGTGGCTCACACCTGTAATCCCAGCACTTTGGGAGGCCAAGGCAGGCCGATCACGAGGTCAGGAGTTTAAGACCAGATTGACCAACTTGGTGAAATCCCATCTCTACTAAAAATACAAAAATTAGCGGGGCATGGTGGCGCATGCCTGTAACCCCAGCTACTTGGGAGGCTGAGGCGGGAGAATCGCTTGAACCTGGGAGGCGGAGGTTGCAGTGACCTGAGATCGTGCCACTGCACTCCAGCCTGGGTGACAGAGAGAGATTCCATCTCAAAAAATCAAAATAAAAAAAAAAGTCAATGCAATGAGAACCAGGTTTAAAGGGGGGTGGGAGGGGTCTGTCTCTTCCTACTTGCCAAGAGGCATTTGTTTGGCAGTGTTCAGAGAGGGGAAGATGGGAGGAAGCTGGTTTGAGGGGTGCTGGGAACCGACAGCACATCTCAGCAGGAGGTGTCAAACAGACATTTTTGGGGGTTCGGGAGTGGCACATGTTAAAGCCACTTCCCACACACAAGATTTCTAGCTCCCCCAGTCTCCCCCAAACTATGGAGAGAGGCAATAAAGCAAGGTTGGCTCTGGCCTCGTAGGAAGTTGAGGAATCAGGAATCCTGAATACCGTGGGGCAAGTGGTGCTGAAGGAAGCCCTCCAAGACCCACTCCCACGGGGAGCACAGGGCAGACCATTTGCACGAGCAGTGTTCCCATTCCTTGACATGAAAAGCTGCAGAAACTCAAGGCCCTCATGCACACACTCTGACAGCAACACACACCTTGCATAGACACAGGTGCCAAGATGGGCCACACCAGCATGTGGCATCGACAGTCACCCAGCAGATGACAGCCGGGTCATAGCCCATGGGCCTCATGCCCCCAAGAAGGGAAGAAACACAATGACCAAATGAGGCTGAGTGGAGCTAGAATCTAGTTAGAAAATTGCTGTGAGCACTGGGAAGAAGTAGGGGCTGTAAGGGTGTCCTAGTATTGGGGGCGTAGGGGGAGGTGGGGGTGTAAAGAAATGCAAAGCGCTTGGCCTGCAGTGGGATCCATAACGTTATTCTTCTCCTTCCTCCACTGCAGGGCGCAGGCTCCTCCCTGGATAATTAAGTTCTCCAAGCCCCACCTGACTTCTCCAAATAATGAGGCTGCCCGACTGCCCAGCGCTGGCCAGCGTGAAGCTCAGCTCATATTTGCTAATGGGGACTCTACATCAGCGGGTGCATTGAGCAGGGGTGTCTAGCATGACTCAGGGATCCATCCTGGGTCCCCTCCTCTTCAGCACTCTCAACCCAGCTTTGGGGGCACACTCAGGCAACACGGAGTTCTTTACAAGCTGGAACCACAGGCCCAACCTAACCAGATGAAATTGCATGGGGAAAAAGATACAAACCAGGACTCAGGTTTCAAACATTACCCATCCAGGGATAAGTTAGGGGAGACCAGGTAATGACAGTTCGTGAGAAAGACTTGGGAGTTTGTTGCCTATAAGCTTAAGATGAGTCATGGAGGTGATGTGGCCACCAGAAGGGCCACTGTTACCTTCATCTAGATGAGCAGAAGCCTGTAAGTGGACAGCTGACACCAGCCCAGTTTGGTTGGTCTGGACAAGGGTGACCACTTCGTTGAGGGGCTTGGAAAACCCTGCCCGTGGAGGAAGTTTTTAGGTGCTAGGGGTGTAGTGTCTAGAACAGGGAAGACTTGAGTCCATGAGGGCTGATGTCAAGGACTGGAAAGAAGACCCATGGGCATGAGGGCAGCTATGGACTCATGCTGTGAGCTTCCAGGGGCAGTCCAGAAGGACTGGGCAGAAGCTGAGGGGATGGTGTTTCAGTCAAAGGAGGGAGAACTTCCTAACAGGCAGAACCGTCCAGCAATGAGATGGGACCCTTGGGAAGGAGAGGAACGTTTGAGCCCAAGTGTGTGGGAGGAGATTCCTACCCTGGGAAGAAGGAAGATGGACTCTGCCTTCAAATGCCCCTCGCTCCCACTCCCAGATTCTCTGTCCGTCCTGTCCTGCCTGGGGCTGAGCTGTTTCTCAGCGTGATCTCCATCTAGCTCAGTAGCCGGAGCCTTTGCTTTTCTAGTCCATCATGCCACCAATGAATGCCCCAGCCTGACCTTGCTTCTCAGCCCTGAGGAGGGGGCAGGGCTGCCTGCATGCATGGCTCACTCAGGCTGAACCCCAGGACTCCTAGGCCTGAGTCATGCTGGCTGAGGGAGTTGTCTGCACACAGATCCCAGTCATTGCTCTGACCAGGGGGAGCACACAAGCTCCATCTCCTTTTATGGGCCTGTGTGGATATTCCCAGCCGAGAATCAGGAGCTATGAGTAGAGCTGTCCAGGGCATCACTCATTCCAGCCTTCAGTGGCCTAAGGGGTGTGGGGTCTGGAGGAAGGAGACTGGGCTGCGGTGAAGGTGTAGGTTTGTACCCCTTACCCCCTCTTTCTACAGAAGGCCCGCAGCCTCTAAAGACCATCTAAGACTGGCTTGCCATTTGTCACACCTCCCTTTCCCCACCCACAGCCGTCAGGGACAAGCCTGCGAGATTCCTCTTCCATCTCTACCCACGAGTTTTGGCCATTAGAAGCAGGTACTGCGCTGGGTGTGGTTTTAGGGGGAGAGGTTAAGCTACTCCAAACCTCTGCAGCAAGTCTTCAGGGTTAAAGGGGCCCCACCTGGTACCCCAGTGTCTCTGTCCTTTAGGTACAGAGTCACACAGTCCAAGGCACAGGTAGACAGGCCTCCCAGGTGTGTGTGGCAGCCTCTTGAAACCATCTCCTCCTGGGTTGGAAATATTTTGCCCCATCACTCCTGAAAGAATTCTCATTCTTGTGTCCTGGTTCTCAGGTCCACAAGCATGGCCACTGTTTATGCTGTTCAGCCAAAGGAGTGGGATCAGCTGCCATGTGCATCCCTAGGGAAGGCAAGAACTCCTGACAGAGACTCGGCAGCCTGTATGCCTGAACCCAGATTCACTTCAACTCTAACTCATCCTCAGCATGGCCTTGGGGCTCTCCCTCATCTCTGACCCCTTCAACCACACCCCCAGTGAGGGCCTCCTCCACTGGGGTTCCTCTGGGATTTTTGACCTAGTTGGGGGGGGGTGGAGAACCTCCCTTCTACCCAGATGAAGCCCAGAAACAGCCTGAGCTGGTTTTGGTTCCTCTTCTTCACACCTCCATGGTGAAATGAGATGGTCCATGTGGACGAGCTGTGTAGCCTGTGACGCTCCGGTCACACTAAAGTCATGGTGTGTGGTGATAATCTATGGAGAAGGGGCATGAAGCCAGTTGCTCTGGGGCTTGGGCCAGCCTCACCCTGCGCTATAGCAGCTTCCCCTCCTGGCTGGTATGCAGAGTGGGGCTGGAGGTATACTTTATGACCAGGCTCTGTGGGTGTCCCAGCCCAGGCCCTGGTTCTACTGGGCGGAGGCTCTCAGATCAAGGTTCCCATAGACAGGACCTGCTCTAGATCTGCCTTTATCTGCCTTTCCAGCAGGATGGGTCCCTGGAATGCCCAGAACCTGGAATCTTCTTGTTCCTGGTTCTTAGCCATTTAGATTTTTTCCTATTTGGACCATTCATTCATGAGAATTAGCAGCCCCTTTTCTCCAGCACCCCCGGCCCCTGCCTTGAAGAAGTGGACATTGTAAGCAGCTAGAGTTGGTCTTCGAGTTCTAGAGGACAAATAGAATACAGAATGACCAACCTGGCTTATGGCCAGGCACTCCCAGTTTCTTTTTTTTATTTTCTGGCAAGCTTGTATAATCAAAAACTCCCAGTTCTTAACCCAACATTAAAATGTAAAACCCAGCGTTCAAGGAATGTGAACCAATACTTGGTATGGGCAAGGACAAGGAGGAGAGTAGGAAGCAGAAGGAATAGAGAAGAATCTACACTAACTCCAGAGGGAAATGGTGAGCTAAGACTGTTACTGCATCACAAATCAATAAATATTTATTGAGAAGCTACTACATTCAAGATTCTCTTGCCTGTACTGCTATCCCCACGGTTTTTGTGCTGTGACACTGAGGGACAGTCTGCCAAGGCTGCTCACGGCCCTTCAGTGAGTGGGTAGGGGTGGAGAAGCGGGTCTGTGTTCTGAGAGGACAATGACCCCGAGACAGAGTATGCAGGAGGTCCATGAAGTGGGGACGAGGCAGTGGTGGCTAGCTGAATAGCTCTAGAGCTCAGATGGTTCTAGAACTCCTGGGCTCCTGGCTAGACCTGAGTGAGGGATCCAGCCATTTGAATGCCTGGCTGAGGATCACTCATTTGAGGTGTGACACAAAACAAGTTACTAGGTCTCTTTCCCCCAGATATAGGTTTTCTTGGGATGTAACCTGCTGCCCCTGCCCCCTGCCACCACCCGTCTCTAGTAGGTCACTCAGTGAGGCAAGGCGTGCAGTTAGGGGAAACTCTTAGGTTTCTTAGAAGCCAGGACCAGCCAGGTCTCCAGCTGGTTACTAAGATATCCAACTGGGTCAGGGCTCGTGGTCAGTTTGAAGCTGCAGGAGAGGAAGACACCCAGTAACCTAATCAGGTGAGGCCAGCGACTGTGCCCGGGGGCCAGGGTGGGAGCACATTGCTCCTTTGGGGCTGTGGGTTTTTAGCCTGATTTGCAGTATTGCCCAGACTCTGCAATTAGGCTCAGGGCAGCTTCATGGGTGTGCAGCTTGCGCAGTCAGTCACACAGGGCTTGCACCTAGCAGGACCCCCCACTTGGTTTAGTGCTCTGCTGTTGCCTTCTTGATCTTTTTAACAATTTTTCAACAAGGGGCCCCACGTTTTCATTTTGCATTGGGTCCCACAAATTATGCATCAGGTTCTGATTAGATGAATGGTCCAGCTCTGATTCCCCCTGTGGTTTGGATCCCAGAGGCCAGGCTTTGGGTAGTTAGCCCTTCTGCTTACTTTCTCCCCCTGTCTTACACTTCCCAGCCCTGGGATGTGGGCAGGCGAGAGGCAGGCTTCTCCAAGCAAGTCTGGGAACACGGTTGGTGTTCTACTCCAGCTGGGGGAGCAGGAGGGAGTCAGACAACATCTCAGGGTAAGTTTGGGCCAGGAGAGTTGGTAGGGGCCAGGGTTTGGTTCCTTCATGATCTAACCCAGAATGCAGCTCTGAGACAAGTCCTTTCCCCAGGGGAAGAAAAGACCATGAAGAAGTTTCCAAGAAACCTTACAACCAGCCTCTGCCGACGGCTCACAAGGAGCCTTGTGTTTCTCTGGTTGAGCTGCTCCACACACACACGTCTGTTGGAAGTCCAGTGACAACCATGTCAATTGCGCCACTACGCTTCACTGGAGAGACTTGAGTGGCGGCAGTGTGGTGCTGGGGACCATTTTCTTAGCCCACCCAAGAAACCCGTCCAAGAATATCTTGTCTCTAGAGATTCTACAAGTTCTAAGATGTTTTTCAGATTAACGGTTTTCTCAAGCGCTCCCTGACTCCAGCCTGCTGGGATCCTTGCTACCATCTGGTCTCACACTTCCTCCGTTTAGCACATACTTGTTGTCTAATAGCTTCCAGTGAGTGATTTTTTTCTCTGGACAGAGTGGAAGCTATTTGAGGGCAAAGACCAGATTCTTAACTTTTCCAGCCAAGACAGAATGTAGTTTCCTCATTATATAATCACATGGCGAGGATGAACAGCTATGCGTTGATTGGACTGATTAGCAATGCCAGCCTCCTTTCGGTAAGAAAACCTCCAAAGTACTTTCCTGTCTAGTCCCATATTCCAACCCTAAGAGAATAGGAGAGAAAGAATGGAGAGGTGAAGTATCCTGTTCCCAGTCACATAGCAACTCAGGGAGGATGCGGGGTCTGAACCCATGGCTTCCAGGTTCCTCTAAAGGATGTCTACCAAGGGCAGTAGCTCTCCTTGTCTGCTTCTTCCACAGAATGGAAAATAAACTCTTAAAGGGCAGGAGCTGACGGACCTGTCTAGAGTCCACAGATCCACAGTGGGAGGGGATTCCCAAGCTGTCCCCTCTCCATGGGACCCTGGCACAGGATATTAGAATTCCAGGCAGGGCCTGGGAGACAGGAAGCTACCTGTGTCTACTCACCAGGCCCTCCAGTTTCTCGAGGTCCATTTCCAGCATCAGTGGGTAGTTCATGGCTGCGCCGGCCGTGAATCACCAGACTGGTCACTGTCTGATGTCGAGAGGCTCCCCACCAGGTGCCTCTAGAGAGGTGGCAGCCGTCAGCTGCAAATTTAAGCAAATGAGCTGCGCATCGTCTCCTGGGGCGGCTAGGGCCTGCAACCTGCCTCACAACTCATCACTTTTTTTTTTTTTCCACTGGGTCTTTTCTGTTTTTTTGAAGATAGGGAAAATCCCCCACAGCATCAGTGCTAGTCAAGCATTTCAGCTTCTTTCCCGGCAACAATTGTGTCAACTGGGGCCGATGACTAGTTTAAAGGCTGCCCTCACTTCTCCTCCCTATACCCCCAATAAGGGGCTCAGGAATTGTAATGTAACCACCATACAAAGCCATCAGGCTGTTAAGGGAAACCCCTGATCCACAGAGAACAGGAGAAGTGCCCTCCCAGCAACCTCTCCTCCAAGCCACCTCCAAACCTTCATCTTTCTCACCACTAGGGTGATCAACCATTCCAGTCTGCCCAGGACTGAAAGTCCCTTGACTTGGGAAACCCCTAAGTCCCGGCAAATCAAGGCACTTGGTCAAACTACTTGCCACCATCCTTTTGCCCAGCAGGGGCAAAATCCCTTCCCTTCTCAGCTGAAGTTCAGAAAAGATAAGTTAGAAGTTTTCAAAGGGAACAACAGTAAAACAATACTGGAAGGCAAAATGAAATCAACTTTGGAAGGCTGAGGCAGGAAGATCGCTTGAGGACAGGAGTTGGATACCAACCGGGGCAACATACCCTGTCTCTAAAAGAAAAAAAAAGTGAAATCACCAAGAAAAGCACATAGTTACAGAGTCATTTTCTGACTCAAAAATAATGATGTTCTATCTATAAATTAACTTGGTTGGCTCATAAATTTTTTTTTTCTTTTTTTTAAATATATATTTTTTAAAAGATAGGTTTCGCCGTGTTGGTCAGGCTGGTCTTGAACTCCCAACCTCAGATGATCCGTCCGCCTTGGCCTCCAAAGTGCTTGGATTACAGGCGTGAGCCACCACGTCCAGCCAGCTCATAAATTATTAGGCTAGAGAGGACTTCAGAGATCATCCAGTCTAACCCCCAATTTTTATGTAGGAGGCCTGTGAGGCTAACTTGCCAAGGATCCCACAGCTAACCAGTGGCACAGCCGGGACTTGAACTCAGGTCTTTTGACTCCATGTTTAGTGTTTTCTCTACTCTACCAGGCTGCCGCTCTTGGAGGCTCTCATAACCCCTGTCCTTTCCCTCAACTCTGCCCTGACTGAGGGCCTCTTCCTTTAAGAAACCCTTGTGTAGCTGTTGGTCAATTTCCCCTCCAAGTTTGATCTTTGTGCTTTTTCTTCCAGAAGTGGGCATTTCCTCTCTTGGTCCACATTGATGTGAAAGCAATGACTGCAGGCACAGAGGCACCTGCACAGTGGCAGGCACAGTGGCTGTTTCTTGGCCCCACCCCCACCCTTGTTATCACTCTCCCTTCCAGCCAAATCACCCTTTGCTGGGATCCTACCCTTTCCAGTGCCCTCCTTCACCCTCTCCTCCATATTCACCTTCCCTCTTTCCCCGTTTCACACCTTGCTTACAGCCCCGACGGCATCCTCAACAGATGCATCATTTTTCGGGTTAAACAGCCGGAGGAGTTTTCAGCCTCTGTTGGTGCTATTGGGGTGGTTTCCTCCTCGCTCTGCTCCATTCACTGCCTTTAGAAGCTGCTTTCAAGGAGGAAGGCTCTCAGGACAAGGTATCACACTTCTTCAGCACTTCCAGTCCTGAAACCTTTGGGAGGAAGCTGCCCCAAGGTTTTCAGTGTCCCAAGCTTACTGGGAACTCCTCATCTTTCCGTTTACCCTGTCCTCAACATTCCTGTCCCTCCAATCCCTCAGCATACTCCAATCCCTCAGCCTTGGCCACCCTGGCTAGGGACATTGATCAGGAAGGAATACAGCATATAGAATCACAGAGGAATTGAAAGGGACTTTGGAAGACTATCATCAACCACACCCCCACCCCCAGCAAACGCAAGATTCTTGTCACTAGGTCCTTATCAGATGATCACCCGGCATTGGATAAACATCACTGAAGGTGAGACATTTGCTCCTTTAGATCATGTTTCGATGGAGGATGGTTTCGTGATTAGAAACTTATTCCTCATGATGAGTCAAAATATGTCTTTCTGTAACCCCTCCCCAGAGGTCCTGGCTGTGCCTTCTGTCTGGACTGCCTAGCTCCTCTTCCAATAAGCATCCTTCAAAGACAGGCAGCACGTCCCGAGAGGCCTCTGTTCTCCAAAACACATTTTCACAGTGTCTTCAGTCATTATTCGAAGTCTTGGTTTCTGGGTCCTTTGTCACCTTGTTTTTTGACCTCTGGGTGATTTCTTGTCAATGGTCTAGATATTATCTAACTAGGAAAAAATACAGGATTATATGCATTTCCTTGTTCAAGACTCCATACTTGGCTGGGCATGGTGGCTCATGCCTGTAATCCCAGCACTTTGGGAGGCCAAATGGGAGGATCCTTTGAGCCTAGGCGTTTGAGACTAGACTGGGCAACATGGCAAAAACCCATCTCTACAAAAAATACAAAAATCAGCTGGGCATGGTGGCTCACACTTGTAGTCCCAGCTGCTTGGGAGGCTGAGGTGGGAGGATCGCTTGAGCCCATAAGGTTGAGGCTACAATGAGCTGTGATCACGCCACTGCACTCTAGCCTTGGTAACACTCAAAAAAAAAAAGATAAAAGATTCCGTACTTCTATAACTAGGTAACTACAATACATTTGGACTTTCCTGTGGGCCCCCAGTCCTCTTAATAACATGCCTAATGGATTTCATTTTGAAGGTTCTGGGCCATTGTTGCACCTATAAAGGGAAACTTTTGTGATCCTGATTCTGTCATCTAGTGATCTGATAACAACATCGATAAGTCATCCTTGGGTCTATCCAAGTCCTGAAGGCAAATATTGACAGGATAAAGCCAAAACCAGAACCCTACTTCAAGCCATTAGAGACCTACTATACCCAAAGGTCAAGAAAGACTTCATGAAAGTCTTGGCCACTGAAGGCTTGTGGGGAGTGAAGGCTTGATGTACCTGGAGAGGGGGACAGGGTAGAGAGTGTGGGACATGAAGAGGGCTGCTTGGAAGAAATGTGTAGAAAGAATTACCCGGTGCCTGGCCATCAAGGGCACTCTGTGTGTGGTGGGTATGTCTATGGCAATGATGATGATGGTGATAATGATGAGGAGGAGATAGGGCGGGGGGAGGAGCCAGGAGGTGATTGGAGCATGTACTGGACAAGGTGTAGGACCTGCGCTACGGCCTTCTCCTCTCCTACTCTTTCCGCAGTTCTGTGTGTTCCACAAAGTGCTGCAGGCCTAGAAGAAGAGTTTTGGGGCCGGGCGTGGTGGCTCACGCCTGTAATCCCAGCACTTTGGGAGGCCGAGGCGGGTGGATCACCTGAGGTCAGGAGTTCAAGACCAGCCCAGCCAACATGGCAAAACCCCATCTCTGAAAAAAAAAAAAAAAATTAACCAGGCATGGTGCCAGGCATCTATAATTCCAGCTGCTCAGGAAGCTGAGGCAGGAGAATCGCTTGAACCCAGGGGGCAGAGGTTGCAGTGAGCCCAAAATCGCACCACTGCACTCCAGACTGGGCAACACAGTGAGACTCCATCTCAAAAATAAAATAAAATAAAATAAAATAAAATAAAATAAAATAAAATAAAAGAGAAGAGTTTTGGGGGAGGCTCAAGGCTGCTTCTCAGGTGCAGTAGCAGCAGGCTCTGGCCAGTTTCAGCTATGATGATTGGGGCAGCAGAGAGGTGGCCTGGCAGCTTCTATATGGCTGACCCAGGATTCATAGACTAGACACATCTGTGACTGTCACCTGAAGTCTTTGAATTTTTGGTGCTTCTTGCACTCTTGGCCTATTCAGAGCTCTCATCTTTCTCTCCAGATGCTGGACGGACACACTACAGCTTCCCAGGGTCTACTTGTGTTGGTTACTGACCTTTAATAGTCAACTCAGTTTGCCCTAAATGGCAAATGCCTCCTGATCATGAGTTTTTTTTCTTTTCTTTTTTTTTTTTTTTTGTTT